AACCAAGCACTTCCTTAGACTGAACTGCCGAACTGCTCGTTACACTGTTTACAGCAAACACAGAAAGGGTAAGCAATGCTTGTAACAATGGATATTGTTCAAAGATGGAGGGCTCCTTTTGAAAAGATCTCATTTATTTTTCATCACTTAGGTGGTTTGATTAACTTTGGTGAATTTTACTGCATTTGGCTAATGATAGCAGGCTGTTTTTATGGCCCTTGAGCAATTGCTTTCACTTTCTGGTTCTCAGGCACAATTCTCCCTGGGCTCACAAAGCCCTTTTACAACAACAATAAAATCTGAATTAAAACATAAAGAATATTTTATTTCTTTACCACTCTTTAAAATACATTTTGAAATTTGGACCTAACACAATCTGACAGTTTGGTTAGTTGGATTAATACTGAAAATGCCGATCAGTCATGTTCTTTATAGCCCTATATAGATATTTTAGATGTAAAGCTGTCTGAAGGGCTCACAGTAGAAATGAATGTGGCAGCAAGAGTGAGAAAACTCAAAGAGGAAAAGAAGAAAGGGCTTTTTTTTGTTGTTGGGTGGTGGCAGGGTTTTTTTCCTGATTGGAAAGCAAGCTTGAAAATATATATATATATATATATATGTAAAATAAAATACTTGGAATTATTATTATTTCAGTGTTATAGTCTTTGTATTTTATAGCTACTTGTGTAACAGTCAATTGCTTAGATCCCTTCTAATCTGCTTGCATACTCAGTTTATATCTGTTAGGGAACTTGGGATTACTTGGTTTAAGCATTTGTCCTGAGCTTTCACAGAACCACTACAGTAAAAATGGAAAGCCCCCATTAAGGAAAACCTGTCTGAAAGCAACAGATGGGTACATAAACTTGTTAATCTGTTGAGAATATAGTTATATATGGTAGGCAATAATTAAAGGTAACTAAACCGCTGGTGCTTGGACCTACACGGGCAGCTTCTATGCACCATTTAGGAATTGTACTTGAGCACAAAATGCCACAAAAGGAAAATACAGCTTGACATTTGTAAACTGAATTGATTTTCATGTAAAAGGAGAACTAATTTTACCCATCCTTAACGGCAGAGTCAGTATTCCAAGATTTTGCAACTGTGCCATCTTATGTCTCCCAGACTATCTTCTGCCATGCAGAGTTACAGTGAGGGTTGCTTATTGTTTCCTTTCTATATTTTTTCTTTAGTTAATGGAACAATTTTGTGGCTAGGCAAGGGAAAAAAAGTCAACAGCCCTCCACAAGTGACAGGACTCTAAGGAGCACATTTTCGACCCACCAGAATGCCCACTCTAAATTAACATAACTGCCTGACATTGAGGGGCTTTTGTACTTTTAAACACCAATTGCCATTGGAAGAACCCCAGAAATGTTTAAGGCCCCACTCCTACAACGAATTCCCTGTGGGTGGACCTTTATGCCCATGCACAGCCCCATTGAAGTCGCTGGAAGTCACCATGGGCAGGCAGACCTCAATTTCTAATTGCTGTACAGGAATATAGACTGCAAGGGGCCTCCCAGGATCATCAAGTCCCGGGCCCAGGTGCCATGTCCAATAAGCCTTTTTCAATAAACTTCCAGGTTACATTTTAAGGTGGAATCGGTCTATTTGCCCCCACTACTATGAGGCTTTCTGACCTGGTTTTGGGTTGGGGGAGAGAGGGAGGAAGGGACATCTTTTTTTTAATAAAATGTTGGAAACACATCTGATCGAAATAATACTTCATGTCATTTTCTGTAAATAGTCAGAAGCGTAATGAACATATAACTATCTTTTTTCAGAAGATACATGAGAACTCTTACACGGCTCTCATGTACCAGTGTATACATATATTCATCTCTGAGGTCAGCAAAGGCACAAAGGCATACAGGAGATGCTGCAACCACAGCACATGCCTACACGACTTCATATGCAAATTGTGCAAAACACACATCTTCCCTGGCTTGCTGATTTTGTTATTTAAAAAGTAATAAACCCCCATCTTTTCTATGCTGCTCAAACCATATCTGCAATAAAATATTGCAGCAACACAAAGAAAGATGTACAAAACCACAGGTAGAATTCACATTTTCTTCAACAGCACTAAATGAGGCTGGGGGCTGGCTCCCATCTCCAGGGAGGACTTTTGGTGCTTGCTGGAAAAAGTCTGTGCATAGGAGACAGGGAAGGCTGGCAGGAGGCAGGGCCCCTCAGAGTTGTCCCTGCAGACAGGCGTGCACCAGTGCCTCACCAGCAAATGTCCTTCTGCGTGTGCCCTGGGAACTGGTCGCACTGCCTTGGGGTTTTTTTCTACGCCCTTGTTTAAGAATCAAATAATCAAATTTACTTAATCTATTCTAAACAATGCCTCCCCTTCTCCTGACTCCCTTTTGCTGGGCAGGGGCGGTGACATGCTTGCCCACGGGGGCTCATCCCTCAGCTCCCCGCAGCGCCTGCCCAGCTGGTCCAGGCTGTCCCCACGCAGCCCTCGCACAGCGCTGCCCCACTGCGCTTGCAGCGTGGGTGTAAGGAATGATCTAAATTGGGATTAATGCATGACTGGGAATTGACTTTTCTTCGTGTCTCATTTCTGCAATGTTACAGCACGCGAGTAATTGGTTTTTTTAAAAACCAGTCTGGGTAGTTTGATGCTCTTGCTTCTCTAGTGAACCTCCTGCATAAATGCTCTGCATTTATAAGGTGGGTTTCTCAGCAGTACGCTCACAAGCTGGGACAAGTTCCGGTGGGCCGTGCTGCACCCTCAGGAATTCCAAATAATACTAGTTTACTCCAAAAAAGGCTTTACAGTATTTATGGGGCCATCCTGGGTAACCGTGTTTCTATTCAGGCCTCCACTCTCTCTCTGCAATGCAAGTGGATGTGTTGCATTCCCCGGAGCCTGCACCTGCCTGAAAAATGAGAGCCCCAACACGTCCCCAAGCCACCGGCCCACACAACGTGTGGGAGCACAACTGGCTCCGAGCTGTGCCACCATGGCAGAGCGGGACCCGCGGCTCTTTCTCCTGCCAAAGCAGCATCTTCTCATTTTTGGTCTGTCAGTCATGTTGCAAATATATTCACGTCACTCAGCTGGTTTCATGTCACAGACACCCGTAGTGTGACGGGCAACCACATGTTATCTGTTAAGAGCGTACTTGGTTTGAGGGAGATTTTTCATAGAGGGAAAGACGTAAGAGTTACTTAGTTGCTGAACTCTCATTCATTCTCTTTTATGTAAAGCCATGCAGATACACCGAAGCTCTACACCATATAAGCCCATGGGTTTTGCAAATAGTTTTGCGTTATAAAAATCTATGGAAAAAGGATAAGTAGGTGGTATACTAGCAAAACAGTAAATCGAAACACACTGAAATGCCATTTCATTCACATACAGCACAGTAACGCTGAGCGTTACATGGCCACATCCTGTTTTCCGGATAACCTCGAGGCACACACATAACATCCTGGTGCGCAGCAATCTGGATATGGCAGAGCCCATAAATCAGCAGGACAGGTTACATGGGGTCAGTGAGCCAAGGACTCTGAAAGCTGCATATTGGTAAGGCTGCCTGATGCGAAAACCTGGATGTTGTATTTCTGCATCGGAAATGCAAACCGCCGTCTGGATGAACCCGGGGCTGGGGATGGAGAAGGCGTTCCAGCTGTGGATTAGTCTGGAGGACACTAAGATGAAGCTTTAGTCCACCAGAGCCAGGACTGCTGGGAGAGCGTGGGAATCAGGGCCACGGGAAGGCAGAGGGATTCCAGGGAAACCATGCAGTACCTAACAGTCAGGTAAGTGCTGAGATAACCGTACCTGCTGCCAAACATTTCCTCCCTCAAAGTTAATTCAACCTGGCAAAACATGACATTTAGCAAACCAACACACTGCCACATATTTAGTATATGAATAGCTGAGATATGGTATATTTTCATTGCGATGTTTCTCCGCCAGGAGCATTCCTCTGTTGTAAGGTTTCTGGGCTATGTCTCCAATCTCCATCACGCAGGGTAAACACTCCCTGGATAACACCCCTGGCCAGAGCCCGTAAATGCTATGGTTTCCATTGCTGAATTATAAAGAGCAAGTGATAGCTTCTCTCTGTTCCAAGCTACTGTATTTTACCAGGAATCTGAACAAGAATGGCCCATCTATATCAACCATTCATGACAGTATTTGCTTTTCAGAAATTATCTCAGTAAAAATTCTCAGGTTCGAGCTGAAAGAAGCTCTTTTGATTTATTTGCGATGCAGTAGAAACAGTGCTAGGCTACTAACAAATGTTCTTGGTAAATATGTGATGATTAATATCAAGGTTCAAGGCTTACTGGAGTAAATGAAACATTACAGCCAACTTCATAGACTACCCTTGCAGGTATAATATGCAGATTAAAAATCAAAACAAAACAAAAAGCTTCCTGGAAAAAAAGAAAAAAAAAGAAAAATCCAAACCTCAGATTGGACCATAGACACAATGAAAGATCAAGGAAGACTGAATGATTGGACATTCAGATAGGTAACCTCAATTAAAAAGAAAAAAAAAAAGTGATACAGTTAAACAGTACGTGCTTGGCAGGCTGGAACCAAAAGAGACAATCCTGATGCTCAGATGCTCTCCCAAATGTCAGATATTTAAGATAATATGCATAGTTTCTATGCAAGTCCTTAATTTTGTTTCTGTTAGGAAATAGATTAGGCTTTAACTTTAAGTACTGAATTATTGCCAAAAACACGACGCAATTTGGTACAACTGCTAAACTAGGTCAACAGTGAGACAGGCGCCATAGTGAACCACGCCTGCTTTTAGAGAGGCCTCTCACTTCTGCAAATGGGGAAAAAGAGGGCAAGAAAGAAAAACATAGTACTACAGTGAAAGGAATATTACACTGAGCAGTAACGAATGCAGAAACACCAAGTGTATTCCATCAGGTTTAACCCTAGAAAGCATCCTCAAAGGGTGGGGAGCAATGGAGAAAAGCTGAAGATTAGCGGGCTCGAGGGCAACACTTACTGATTCGGGATCCCTCTGCTGTTCAAGGAAAGCCGAAAACTCCACCAGCCTGAGCTTGGTCGTACCAATCGATCGGCCCTGCCACGCAGGGACTGAGGGAGCTGGAGCTGACGTAGGCTCAAAGCCTAAAAGAAAGGAACCGTTTTCATGAAGAAGTTGACAATTCCTCAGTTTATGTTTTCTGAATTAAATATAATCAGGAATTATGCATGTAGCCCTTGGATGTTTATATTAATTTCAGCAAATAATGAATTCAGAATGAGTTAAAATTTGAAAAACACAGAACAATATGTAGAAAAAGAGGTCCCAATCCAGCAAGCTAATAATGGTGCAAATAAAAGATCTACTTCTTTGTTTCCTTGGGGCTGTAACTCACTGTAAAATTTTTGTTTAAAATATATACTAGATTATAGAGATTTATAAAGACTTCACGTAGACTTACAGCTGACCCTTCATTGGAAACTGGCAGCAAGACACAGGAGGTATTACTGCCTTGGGAGTCAAGAGAACTGGCCTCCATTTCTAGTTCCTAATGTGCCACATGTTACAAGTAAATCACCTCTCTTTTTGCCTTTTTCTTCTGCCACTCTCAATTCCCCTCTCCTATTTAGTGTATAAGGTTTCCAAGGCAGGGACTGTCTCTTACTATGTATTTGTACATTGGGTCTTTGACTTCTTTTGGAGCTTTTAGGCAGCATTATATTACAGATAATAATAAATAATTACTGTAGAGGGCTGAATCATACCCTAAAAAGAAAAAGAAGGTTTTAAATTGATAATAAAGAGGGAATGACATGATCTAGAGAGAGAAGGGATGTTAACCACCATCTCTAACTCACCTCAAGAGAAGGAACAAACGCTATCTCTTGCTCCTCATCATGGAAAATTAGATGAGAAGGAAATAAAACAGTAAAGGAAGGAGGGAAAGGCAGCAACTCGAAGACAAAACTGATCTCGGGAGAGATGCAGGTGCAAGGAAGGCAGAGGAGAGGCACCAAAGGTTAGACAACAAAGATAATCCTGAACTAGGTCGAGAACCAGGAAGAGGTCACAGGTAGCATGTGTCCATATCCTGTAATGGGAATATGGTCCTGACTCCAGCCCTCAAAGTTAGGCAATGAAGATGTGAGGCTTGTATGAAATAGGGAATTACAAACGTGACTGGTTAGACATGAACAGGAATTCTAATGAAGTTGTCCTGGTTTCAGCTGGGATAGAGTTAATTGTCTTCCTAGTAGCTGGTATAGTGCTATGTTTTGAGTTCAGTATGAGAAGAATGTTGATAACACACTGATGTTTTCAGTTGTTGCTAAGTAATATTTAGTCTAAAGTCAAGGATTTTTCAGCTTCTCATGCCCAGCCAGCAAGAAGGCTGGAGGGGCACAAGAAGTTGGGAAGGACACAGCCAGGACAGCTGACCCAAACTGGCCAAAGGGGAATTCCATACCATGTGATGTCACACCCAGTATATAAACTGGGGGGAGTGGGGCTGGGGGCATCGCTGCTTGGGGAGTAACTGGGCGTCGGTCGGTGGGTGGTGAGCAATTGCATTGTGCATCACTTGCATATTCCAATCCTTTTGTTACTACTATTGTAATTTTATTAGTGTTACCATTATCATTATTAGTTTCTTCTTTTCTGTTCTATTAAACTGTTCTTATCTCAACCCCGAGTTTTACTTCTTTTTTCCAATTCTCTCCCCCATCCCACTGGGTGGGGGGGAGTGAGTGAGCAGCTGCATGGTGTTTAGTTGCTGCTGGGGTTAAACCACAACAGAAGTAAAAACTCATGCATGAGTTTTGACTGATTTAGAAATACCAATAATCCCACTCTGAGAGAAAACATGGAAGAATAAAAGAAGACAATTCAAAATGCCTACCTTAGAAAACAATGTTATAAATTAGGAATATCAGGGAAAAGGAAATAATCAGACATACAGAAAGATAACCTTAGTTGTAAGCATTAAATAGCAGCAAGTTAGAAAAATCATAAAAAACTGGGTAAGAGTCAGAAAACTGCAGTTCAAACAGAGTCAGAAGCATGGTGTCTTTCGGCAAGGGAGACGTAAAATTAGTTACCATCTGCAAAGAAATAATGATCTTTCCTGAAATTAGCCATGAAACCAACTTGGGGAAAGGAGTAGGGAAGTAGCCATGGGAAGGGCTTGATCAGTTTGAGCAACAGCAGTCAGAATAAACTTTAGGTACTTATCAAAGTGATACCAGCCAGAGCAGGATCTTCAGGAAGGGAAAGAGTTATCAACAACCAGATACACAGAGATGTTCTATACTTAAGGCTCTACATATACGGTTTTGGAAGAGTTTTTAGCCTCAGTTTAAAATAAATTAAGCCTTATTCTCACTACAGATGGAAGCAAGATTTAGCTGTTAAAAAAGAAACATGCATCCTGTTACTCATTTTTTACAAAGCATTTCCCTACAATATCGAATGCTGACTGGAGATCACATATCACAACTGCTTGCATATGTATTAGTGTTTCCTACCTAAAATGTGAAACAATCCCCCCAAAACCCCAAGCCCAATGATTTTCCCTCATATATAATCAGTTAGTAGGACATTGGGACTGGTGTTTGGTTCGGCTACAGGGAGTGTTAGATATGGAGTAGTGGCTCTGTCCATCTCAGGAATTAATACATCACATTCAGTACACAATTCAAGTGTTTTTAAAGGAGAGTATAAATGGAAGAATTACCTGAAATGGGAGCTGTGACCGATGGCTGTATAGGATAGGCCTGCTGAACAAATGGCTTTACGCTGGAATAAAGAATTACACAAAAATCATACAGCATGCCATCCACAGTAAATTCCAGTCACATAGTATAAGAAAATACATGGCTAATGACCTTTACCCACAAACATATCTCTTCCTTGCATAGAATATTTAACAGACAGACAGTAAAGAGGTAATAGAGAGCGAGAGGGTTGAGAATTACACCCAACATCTTAAAGCGAGGAGCTCATCCACGCTCAGTCACAGAGCAGGAAACCTGACCTGCCTGTTGCAAGTTTTGCAGCAGACATGGATGGTGATTGCTTTGACTCCCAGTAAATCCAGAGGACGCTGAACTACAGGAGCACAAAGACTCCCATGGACTTCAAGGGAATAAGGTGGGAAGAAGCTGAAGAATAAGGCTGGGAAACATTGCTCCAGAGACCACCGCGGGGCTGAAAATGTAATACCTGACAGAGGGGCAAAGGCTTCCTTCTCTGTATGGTGCTGCTGCTACCGTGGTGCCGAAGGGCAGTAACCCTACTGACCACTAATGGGCCTCATGCAGTCATCTCCTGCTCTGCAGGAAAATACGTCCCCCTTGCCTCCAGTATTGCTCATATAGTTAAAAGAGGATGGGAGTATTCGTGCTGGAAACTTATTCACAGGCAAAACCTTACCAGCTGCTTCCCTGGCATTATCATTGCATCTCACCACACAATGGGAGAATAAGGAGTGTGCCTATTAGGTATTCAGCCTCAGCTTTGAGGTCTGGGATCCCTTATAACTTTTCGAATGTGAGTTCACATCACTGTAAAGGCTCTTCCTTTCTCTACAACTATTTTTTCCTCCTTTTTAGAAAAAATTTCAAGTTCTTGCCTCATTGATACCCTCTGGCAGCAAAGTGCACAAGCCATCCCCACACTGCATATAGAAGCCTATTTTAATTTTCAGACTTACTCTTGTGAGGATCCAGGCTGCCCCGTTTGAATCATGCCCGGCCAAAACTGAAAGAAGGAAAACAAACAAACAGACCCACAATTGTTTTCTTTGTTGAAAGGTTTTGGATATTTCTGAACAAGCATGATTCCTTTTGCAAACACGAGTGAAAGCATTAATCCATTCATTCAGCCTTAGTTTTCTACTGAACATTGTTAGAGAATACAGGGATTTTTTTGGGACTCGGCTAACAACTTACCCCAGGTGCCCCAGGAAATGTAGGACGGGGAATTCCTGGCAGGCCCAGCTTGTTGTGAATAGCAGTAGCTGAGACTATCTGAGCTGATGACATTGCTGCCATGTGCTGGAGTGCTTTGTCCTTTGCTGTCTGATCCTTTAATATGACAATTACATGGAGTCTTAAAACATTTGGCACAACAAATGATGTTAAATAACTGCAGCTACAAGCACATAACTAACAACTTAAAAAGCCACACAGAAAATGCAAAAATAGCAAACCATGCAGGAAAAAAAAAATACAGCACGGAGGCTAACACTCAAACTACCTCAAGGCAAAACCTCCTCTCAGACATGCATGGTAGACCTGAATTCTCACAGTCTGCTCTGCCAAGACGCAGGAAGCTCTGGGAGAGCAAACTACTGCCCACTTGTTTATCTGGGCAAATTCTGCTGATTTTAAGTCAGGCTGGACTAAACACGGTCTGCTGCTAAGGCTTTGCCTGCAGGACAGTGAGCACTGAGATTTGAGCTCTATCATTTAGATCTAAGAGAAGTTTGCCTTTCGTATTGCACTGTAAAATGAGAACACAGAACTGCGACTGACTTGCAAACAATGACAGTTTTTTCTTCATGCTTACAGGTTTAGAAAATTTTGGATTCTCTTTTATGACAAGTATTTTAAAAGTTAGATCACAAAAATGTAAATAACATTTTAAACTTCCAATTGTGGTATTTTACAGATTTACAGTGTTCCCAAAGAAAACAATCAGCTATAAAATTTCTGCTGTTTTCAAGCATACAGGAACAAGTTTAGGAAAGGATGGGTTGTTATCGATTACTTGTATTAGAGCAGCGCTTGGAGTCCTAGTCACTGCCAATCACGTATGATCACAGAATAGAAATGGAAAGCCTCTTAATGCAACAGAGTTAATTAAGTGGATACCTTATGTCAGGTAAAATAGGTAAACAACAGACCGTTACTATCTGGTAAAGTGGGGTTCCTCATCCAGAAGTACTGTATTAATAAGTGCTGATATTTAGGTACGTGACTTAGAATGAAGGAACACAAGCAGTATTAGGCAAGGATTTGGGGGGCTTTTTTCTGGTTTATTTTACAAGCAAAGTAGCAAGCATGCTGGCAAGAGATGCATGCTCTTATACATGATATATGACTTTGCACATATGCTCCCTCTAAAGCTTGTATGTAGTAGTACTATAGGTGAGCAGTTTCTTCCTTTGAATAGCTCCTTTAGAAACAGCACAGGCTGAAAGTACAGGAAAAGCTAGCCAAAAATTCTGCCAAGCACAGCTAAGGTACATAATACTCGGTTTAGTTAAAATACTTACCATGCTTGTTACCTGGATACAACAACAAACAGTTTATTAAAATGCTTGTGTAGAATAGCAGATTCTTAGCAAAATACGAACAAAATAGTAAGAGACAAAGGAAGAGCAGTTTGCTCAACATTAAATATCAGCTTTAAACAAATGCATTATTTTCACCTAGGGACTGATTCATTAAAAGGAGGAAAAAAAAAAAAGGATAAAAACCTAACAACAAAACACTGGGGGGAAATAACCCCCACCTCCCTGTGTGAAAGCTGCAGATACTGAAAGAAGGGGATTGTTGCTGAGCTTGTTTCCCTGAGCCGCGCATGGAGCCCCTGCGGGTGCCTCTGTGGGATGCAGCGCAGGAGAGCGGCAGGTGGAGCAGGGGAGTAGCTGCTCCGGCAGCGTCCCCCCTTCTGCACCTTGCAGGATGCGAGCCCGAAGTGCAGCCTGCTGCGGTGCTGCCTGCAGCAGCATTAACACCTGCGCGCTCACCTGCCCTGCCTCCCGCACAGCAGCACTGGACACTGCTCTCTGACCTGTCTAAGCCTCGGGACTGCCTTGCGGTGCACCTACAGAGCAGGTTCTGTCCCATTGCTGCGCGGTGGGCGGGAGGCGGGGGACGTGGTATCCATCGGCGTGTGAACAGAACTTGGTCGTTTCTCCAATTTGTAGCTTTCCCGTATAACCACAACCAATTCACTGGGTAAGAGCTGGAAGTCAGCTCTGGCTCTCCCGGCTGCTGGCGCTCACCTCTGCCTGCCCCAGAGTAGGAGGGTGTGCACTGGAGGTTTGTGCATGGCATGTTTCGCTGGCTGCCTTTGGATGTCTGCAGACCACTGGGCTAAAAAATGCTTTGCTGGGTGTTAGGAGGTGGCAGTATTCTGAGATTCACGCAGCTCTCCAGAAAGCCGACCCCTCTACCATCCTGTACAGTAAGAAGGACCCTCCATCACGAAAACATGACGATGAGATGTCTTTAAGCAATATGGAGATGCTAGCACCACCACACTTTTCTGTTTCTTTTCCCCTCATTTTTTGTTAGCTGAGCTGGCTTGGAAATGCCAAACCATGCAAGTCTCACACGCAGTCTGCTGAATCATAACAAAAACAAACATACAGGGGATTGATACCCTGTGTGTGAAATGCATGATTCAAGAGACGTGTGTGCCTCTGGGTCCTAGTAACCTCCAAAACTACGCGAGTGCTGCCTTTGTGACTACCTCGCTATTCTCCAGAACTGCTGCGGCGGCACTACAGCCTCCTCTCCTGCACTGCCTCCTGGCTGCAACCAGCCATGCCAGTGCCACCGTGTGAAGGTGCAGCCAGTGCCTGTGCTCCTGCCAAGTTCCCAAACTCATACTGTTCTGCTGCTATAATGGCCTTACTGTTAGGTGGATCTAAACCAAGGGAGAATTTAAAAGTAAAAGCTTTGTTAGGGATATGAAAGTCCATACCTGGGATTTGCATGAGCCTGGGGTAAATTATATATCTATGACATAGTTCATCTTGCCTTGCTTTAGCCATCTAAAGTCTCCAGTCTAAGGCAGCTGGCTAACCCCCTGCTACTGTTAGTGCAGTAAGCACCTACGGGAGACAATGTATTTCTCCCTTACCAGGCATCAAAACCAGCTGGAGCTCACCACTTGCTGCAATGTTATTGCTGTCCAAGGACTAGAATAGGAACCTGGACACCCAACTTCTACATGGCAACAGTCACGGCAGGTAAATCCCACCACAACAGATGAACAAAAAAAAAATTTTCAAAGATTTACACTTCCTTCAAGACCTTCTGTTCACAGAAGGAGGGATATCTCGATTGTCCTGTAGTGCTCTTAGCCACCGTTAGCAGCGAGTCTGATGATCCTGAATTTTAGGAACAGTGACAGGGATTTTTGGAGGGAGAAAGCATCTTTTGTTTCGTGACATGAGAAGGGATGTGCCTTCCTTCTTGCCAATTGCTGCCTTTTACCCTCGAATGTTCTGCATTTTGTGGTGGCCATTCATCTTATCCTCTTTGACCAATTACATTTTCAGGAGGATAGAGAGAAAGCAAAAATGTTTTGGACAACAGCTCAGAAATACAACACTTGCAATAGGGCTAGACTTGAGGAGTTTCAACGACTCCTACAAAATTTCCCAATGGTGACAAATCTGCCAGCTCCTCTGGACATCAACAGACTCAGGCCAACACACATCAACGGGAAGTTTCACCTGTTGTAGGCGTAGGAACCTCTGCATAACTGGAAGATCAGTTCCTCTCGCAGTAACTAACTTCACATTCAAACATGAAAGAAATCAATTTCAAAATCAAATACAAATACATAAGAGGTCCTGACTTCCACTGGCAAAAGAGCACCTTCAGCTCCAGGAACGTTTTGGAGAGCTGAAGGTGGTGGCCTATGCTTCTATAAGCAGGCAGACTCTATAGTCTCCAAAAACAAATTGGAAAAGCACGTTTTAAAGCTATTTATTTAAATTGAAATATTAGCGTGCCTGCAACTTAAAAAAACAAGTATCTGTTGGGGTGTTTTTCCACTGTAATGGAGAGCGCTTGTAACCAGGAGGGAATGAGTCTTTCTACCTATCACTGCAACGCAGCCACTTCTGGGATGAAACTTGGTAACTGATTAATAACACACAATGGTATTACATCACAGTTTAGGCAGCAAGAGAAGTAATATATCCAATTAAAACGGCAGGGGTAATTTAAACAGGCAGATTACAGTAATTACCCAGGTTGGAATTTGGCCAGGACAAATGGGTTAACACCCCTACTCTAAACAGGAACGTTGTGGGATTTTTAATGACTGCAAATAGTTAAGACTTTGATTTCCTATCTTATCCAAGAGAGAAAGGGTTTGGTTTTGCTCTCACTTGTGCTGCTGCGTAAAACTAGAAGAAATCCTTTTGGGTCAATGAGGTTTACGCTGATGTATGTAAAGTAAAAGTTTGTCCCAGCGTGCTGCAGTCCCGTGCTGAGGTTCGGCAGAGGCTTGGGGGGACAGTATCTCCTACTGAATCGTTAAATCCTGCTGGAGCTTAAGGTATTTGTTGGATAGGTCCCATCTGGCCCTGACCTGGCTTGACCCTACTTAATTTATGAGCTCTGATGGGATTGCTGCTGCCCAGGAATGACACTGTAGTAAGTAACAGACTGCACTCTTACGACTGCTGCCTTCCCCTCCCTTTATAAAAGTCTTCTGTGCTGTGGTACGTAATTAATAATGAATGTTACCGAGGTGGATTTAGAGTACAATCAGGGGAAATTTGGTCTAGTTCCACTAAACCCCTAAAATATCATCACTGTAATGGAGATCAGGATCTACCTCATGGTTCAGCTGGCTGCTTCTGGCTGCAGTTGCAAACACTTTGGTTTTGGAAGGTGTAAGCAGTAAGAATCTAATGCAAGGAGACTATATAACTTTTAATGAATCAGGCCCTTGAGGTTTACTTTTCACCCATTAGTTTTGGAATGCAAAATACATAGTTAAATTAGATAATAATAATTCCCCAGTATCATCCAATTATAAAACTTAATATCTATAAAAGCCCCACATGAAACAGGAGTTCAACATGACAAGCACAAAAGGATTTGTGCTTGACTTTCTTTTAATACAACATAAACAGAAGAATAATTCAATCAATCAGTTCAAACAAGTTCTACAGCAAAAAATAAAAACTGTTATCCTAGAATGATAAATGGGCCTTTGAATACCATGTTATCTATGACTTTGGGAGAAAAAATTCTAAGACAGTATGAGGAAAAGTAAGCACAACAGAACACAGTATTAATTCAAGAAGCCCTATACCTGTACCAATATTTTAAAATACAAAACTTTCCTTGTAAGGGGAAAAAAAAATGACATAAGAGAAGAAACAACAATTTGCTGACAAAATGGATATGACAGTAACACTAACATAAAATAGATTCCTAATAAGCAATTTTGCAGATGTTATTTCTGTTCAGATCTTGTATTGATTCAAATAACCTTTGCAATAATTAGCTGTAGCTCAAAAAAGATAAACAAATCATGAAAATATACAATTGTTCTGGACAAAAGATAGAGAGCACTTCACTGTTTCTAGCCCTGATCTCCAATTTGCTTATTATTAGAGAAGACAGGAGTAAATACAAAAGCTGGCTATTTCAGCCAGGCAATAGCTAATGCCAAGAAGAGAATGCGCATTCAAAGCTGTCCCAACTTGCTGCCTAATGAGTAGCAATTAATCCATCTTATTGTATTTCAAAATGCTGAAGACTCCATTCACATCAAAGGAAATTTTTCAAGGCTTTTATCATTGTTCATTTAAAAAGTATAGAGCTATCTTTAGCATTTTATAATTGACAACAATATTTTCTTTTTATCCCTCAATGCGGAATGTAGAATAATGGATTTTAAAACATGTAATACATGTGAACTGTAGGCATTTTAATGTTTCTTTTTGTCTCTGTCTAATTAATCTTGCACTATGAAAAAATATCTGAAATGAAAGTCTAAGATAGATGTATATCCTGCTGTGAAGACCTTTACTCTCTATTTATGCAAAACTTCCAATCCATCTTTCCTCCTGAATGGACAGAAGTGACTTTGGCTCCCTGTCAGTGCAAAGGTGGGACATGATGCAACCTAACACTATGGACTGGTGTATTTGACACAGAAATACAACATTAGAGCGTAAAAATTCTGCTTTGCCTCCTCCAGTCTCTGCCTGAGAGGAAACGTCATGAAGAGCAGGCGCCTTTCAGATCTGTCTCCAAGAACAGCTTTAGCTCAGCCTCTCTTTCCATTTTCATGAGATGAAATTTCTCTAACTTCAGGAAGATTTTCATAACCTCAGAAAATTAAGATTAAAATCTCTAAAATAGGAGTATTTTCCTGCTGTAACAAGAATTAAAATGTACAACGTCCCTGGAAGGGCTGATGAGACATTGTCTACTGGTGGTCTTGAGATGCAGCAATAGCATTTATGGGCAAAACTTCTCTTTCTTGCTGGCTAAGGACCCATCCGTCCAGAGCGACTGTAGGCACTTATCATCAAAGAAAAGGGACTTTGCTGGACCAGGCAGACTTTATGGCACATAGGTGAGATTTCAGTCTATTAGGTAAGCTTCAGTAATACTCTATCCAATGCCATGGGTGCAGATAGCTCTGAAATCCTTCCATCCATTTGGATTTTTGCAGAAGACAAACACAAGAAGATTCACCCAAGTCCTCTCCTGACCATGAGCAGGATTCAGACCAAGGTGAGACAGAAAGATCTCTTGGTATAAAACAAACTCAGCAGGTACTTAGGGAACAAGAGTTATTTGTTATACCCTTCGTCAAAGTAAGAGACTAGGAACTGAGGTCAACAGGACCGATCGGCCACATCCCAAAAGATTGATAAGAAAAGGCGTTACAAAGAAAACCGCTAGCAATGAATGTCAGCTGGGGGACAAGAGTCTCCGCGCCATGCCCCTGCAATCTTCAAGAGCCTGCCTGTGATTATTTCAGCTAAAGCAGTGCTGGCACACAGGGAAAGACCAGCTTCTCTGCAATATCCTGCCCCGTGTACACGTGGGAGGCAGGCAGAGAGGGTGTCTGGTGGCAAAGAGAAGGAAACACGGGAGATGGAGATGGCCTTGGGTCAGAGCTGACTGAACTCGTAGCTGTGGACTGGCATGAGGGATCTCTGCATTAATCCACAGAGTGCTTTCCCCTCATGCTGTAGGTAGGAAACTTGACATCAGATGCATGTGGGTCTTTTAAGTAGTAACTGCTCCCCTGGATGCCACCAGTCACAGGTTTTACAGAGCAATTGAAAGCGCCAGCTCATTGTTAAAAGGGTGAGATTGTCCCAGGGTGGAAGCAGTGCCTCCCTTGGCCGTCATCTTCTTCGTGGTCACCCCTTCGCCAGGAAACGCGGGCAGCACCCGCTCCAGGAGAACAACGGCCAGAGGAGGCTGATGGGGCAGTCCAGGCCGCTGCCAAAATAGCCCCTGTTGAAACAACGGGCACGAGTAGATGCCAAAATGTATTCGCCTTGTCTTCCTTTCACATCAGCGATGTCCTTTCCAGGCAGTTTTCAAAGGACACTACACCGTACAGATGGTTCAGCACAGGAATAAGAAAAACGAGCAGTAGCGCTAACAAAATGTCTGGAGGAGCGAGGTTCCATCTTGGGTCCAAAACCAGTGGCTTCTCTCACTTCCAGGGAGCAATTGCAGCTCCCCAGCAGGAAAAGCGAGGACGCTCTTTCTCATACAGGCCGCTCCCTTTCAGCACCTTCTTGCATCAAAGTTTCATCTCTTCCGTGTGGGGAGACAAAGGTCTGTGGGAGGCTGCAAGTTCTCCGGAAGGGGCCTGTGCAAGGGGGCAGATGTCGTGCCGTGGCACCTCGCTCGCTGACGCCAAGAACGGCAAGAAAAAGAGGAGGGAGATATGGGGAGAGCCCGGCTCCTCCGACCTTCCTGGGCACCCCTCAGGCCGGGGCCCAGCCACCGGGGCTGCGTTGGGGCTCCTGGGGAGCTAATCCTGGGGGCAGGAGGAGCAGACTGGGACCCGCTGGCCAGCAAGACCCGCTGGGGAAGGGCTGGGGCAGCTCCTGCTGTCAGCGGTGCCCGGAGGGCAGCAAGGCCAGGGGCCTTGTCACCTTTGTCACCAGCGTGCACTCTGTCCTCGCCACGGAGCTGTAGAGAGTCGAAGAAAATGTCCCTGCGGAGTGTTGGGGGCACGGAGGTGGGGGACTCTTCCTGAAGCAATCAATTCCTTGCACCGAAATGGCAGGTCCCCCACCTTCTACTTGGCTCTGGGGGAGCTGCAACCCACTGACGGGTGGGAAGGGGCAGCAAGGCCTGAAGCCCTTACAAAATATTTTGTTGCCCTAACAGATCTTTCCTCCTTCCAACGACTCCTTAAAATGAAAAATCCCTCTGGATCTCTATTTACTGCAAATGGCATCTAGGCTAGAGGTCTCAAATATTATTAGGGTTTAGCTAGCTTCTTTTTTCTTTGGAAAGCTTCAGTAAAAATCAGACAGCAGGTGCAGTACTTAAAAATATTTTTTGCTCTGTAAGTGTCTTCATAATTTTAAGCTAATTTGGGCATTTGGAAAGGGAAATATTTTACAACAGTAAATCCAATATTTTTGTTAGGCTCCTAGGCCTGTGTTTTGGTATCTAAGTGGGCTTCCAGGTTTTTGTAGCCCTGAGTGTTCACCAGTCCTATAAACCTCCAAGAGCTGCTGGTGCTGAGCACCTCTGAAAGTAAGGCCACCTATTTACATACTTAATTTTAGGCATCAAGGATCGACAATTTAAGCTTAAAATGCTACATATCTCTGTATTATTGCACCCTCGGTTAAAAAGCAGTATGTTTAAGTTGTCTTAGTTGTTCTTTATGAACCCCAACTGCTCAGCCAGTGCAGCTAAAAAGCCAGCCACCAACAGCCATACAAGCTTGCCAGCATGCTGCCCACTGCGGACGAAAAACCCAGTGCTTCTGTCAAGGAGGCCTGTTACAAAGCCAGGCTGTTATTTATACGCTGCAGTTCCAGGATCGTGGTAAGCATCCGCAGTGCTCACCGCTTAGTATTGTGAAATTACTTTCTGAAACAATTTGCTTTTCAACTAGAACAAAAACGTGATTCGTTCTCATCTGGAGAAAAAAAAAAAAATCAACAAAAAGAAAAAAGGAGGGAAGTAAAAGATTTACAAGTTCCTTCGCGTTTTATTAAAAAGAAAAAAATCAACAGCAAAAACTGCAAAACCCCCTCTTCCACTTTTAAGTAATGTGAAAACAAAACAAAAAGGGTCCCAAGATCTCTGCTGGAAAACTTGAAAAAACAAGCAATCCAAGAAACCCCTATTAAGCATTTCCAAGAGTTTCTTTTTAGCCTTAGAATATATTTTATGGAAAGCAGGGAAAACGGGGACATGTACAATTCATCACGTCAGATTAAGCAAACATACTTAATATTCCCTGAACAGGACTCTGACTGACGCTCTCCAAAGATTAAATGTCAATATTTTACTTTAAAAAATAAAATTTCAGGGAATCTTGTAAATAGTACGTAACTTGAGGTGATACTAGACTGTACTCTAGAAACACCTTATAGTTAAAGCAATCTTGATAAGCTGTGCTCTCTGCACTTGGAATAAATGATCTGTTTTAAGTATTCTTGATAGCATTTCAAAAGCACAGACAAAAAACATTTGGGAATGGAAAACAATTACCACAATTACCCCTCTGGAAAAAGCAAAAAAGAAAAAGCATCTACACAACTGCACAAAAACCCAGTGTATTTAAATACACTCCTAGCACTCAAACGTTAAAAAAAAAAAATAATAAAATAGACTAACGGGTTAAAAATCAGGTTTAGGTGCCGAGCTGTTACAAAGAGTAGTTCACTTTGCATTTGGACAGTGTTAAAACGATGTTTTTAATGTGGATGCTAGTGCAGAAACCGGAGATTAAACACAAAGAGACGCAGACAGCTACCACATGCAGGAAAACGAGGTTACAGGCACGGCAGCACCAGGCGCTCGCCCATCACCGCGGGGAGGAGGAAGGGACAGGCATAGCAACCACAAGCCCAAAAGCAGAAAAGCGCATACCTTCAGCTTGGAATGAAAATCACGAGATTTCCTTCTGGCAAGAACCTGAATGTGACTAGACACCTGCAGGGTAGGGGAAGGGAGGAAACAAAGGAAAAGCCTGTAACCATGGAGATGAAAAGCCCCCTACAACTGGGCAAGCCAAACGTACCTTAATGGCGGCTTGAATTTCTCGAACTTTCTTTCTTGCTAAGACCTGTATGTGACTAGACACCTACATTGTTCAGGTTTATAGGGAAAAAAAAAAACAACAAACAAAAGAAAAACAAAAAGCAAATCAAATTTAAAATGTCTATTTTTTTCTTTAAAAAAAAAAAAACTTTTCTGAGGGGAGGAAGTTATTTGCATCTTCAGTAAGCTCTGCTGTTAAAGTTACCACATTCCCAGCCAGATACCAAGCTCTCAGCACTGAGGCTTAACAATACAGGTCATCACTGCAGTGACTCAATTAAGGAAAAAAAAAAAAGAAAAAAAGAAGTGTAACCCACCAGGTTGTACATTCAGCTACAAGATAGAAGACACAGTTCGCAGTTGGATGCAGCCCACGTGCTTTGGTACGATCCCATCTGTGGCCAGGCCCTGTGCTCTTGCCCAGGGAGCCGACAGGATTTCTACCCCATCTGCTGGGGAGGCAGATGCCCACTCTGACCATTTGCCACTAGGCTCGAGACATAACTTGGCACCAAGAAGTTTTATCCATTATTTATTGTGTTCTGCAGCTCCAATGAGGAGCCTCATGCTGCGTTTTGACCCCACTGAAATGCTTTAAATTCTGGCACAAACAATAAAATACTGGCACAACACAGGTCCCTGAACCTGTGCTGGCTTCTTCATTAATCTCAGCTTCAAGTCTGCCCACAAAACATTCATGTAAGTGGGGACCAGTAACTTGACATCAGCTTGAGTCATGTCCAGGTTTGGCCCATCGTGATTACATTTTGGTTAGAAATTTGTGTAAATCCAGTCCTGCACTAGACCAGTTATTGGTCAGAAGTTGTTGCCTGTGCAGTGAAGGGTCTGGGCCCAGATTCACATTGCTGTTTACTCAGGCACATACTTAAATCCATGCTATTGATGATGAGGGTTTAATGATGCTGCCCAGCATCGCTCGGTAGTGCTCAGCATCCTATAGGTCTCTGTGTGAAGGTTGCAAACCTGCAGCAATGGTAAAAACTGCTAAAGAGAAATGTCTTATTCTTGTTTGACCCAGGGCATACCATATCAGGTGTTGTACATTTTTCCTAAGTTAGTTACAATTAACAAAGCTTGATTTCCTCCCTCTATAAGACTGTTTCATGACAATAGTACCAAAAAGCCTGTATTTTTAGTAGGGAGGCAAACAGTAATGCATAAATGAGCACAGCCCCTGAAAGCCACCTTCAGAGACTTCCTCAGACTGCAGCTCAGGAACAAGTTTGCAGTAATTGAGAGTTATACTATTGCTTACTAAGCAATTTTGTAGTCAAACACATAGACCAAGTTTTCACATGTGTTCATTTGTTTTGCTTTCAGTGGGATATTAGTGGTGTTAAAGGTTATAGAAGAAGCGCAATCGTAATGTTTAATTGCTCCAGCTGAAACTCAAAAATAACGACAATCAAACTTTTCTAAACACAAGGTCTAAAGGGATTTATGAATCGCTATAGAGGGGTGTACGAGTATGGAGGCAGAACACTGCCATATGTAAGCCATCACAGCCCTCTTGGTTTCACCACAGCTCTACCAGCACATGCTGGCCAAGGATGTAGCCCCAAGGTCTGCATTTTGACTTCTGATGCAATTTTAAGATCCCAGTGTTACCCACGATTCTTGGAGCTTGCATGGGCATAGCAGGGCAGAACTTCGGACTTTGTCTTTTGTTTCAGATTTCTTTGCCAATCTTTTGTTTGTTCCTTCTCCATGTGCTGCAGTTTCTCTCCTTTCTCATGTCTTTTTTCATCCCTCGTACATATGTTTTCTTCTTAACTGACAAAGGACACAACCCAGCGCAAAATATCACCCAGTTCAAAGTGCTTTAAATCTGAGCGCTGGCAGCAGGCCATCTTTGTGTGTGCCGACTCAGTGTCACCTTTCCCAGCACTACAAAACACACGTAGCATGCAAGTGTACGAGTCTCTGCCTTCCCCTTTGTCACGCACATGGATGGGGAGAAGGGGAATCACGCACTTGACATTAGAGAAAGCGAGGGCACTCTGCGATTTGCAAAGCATTTTGAAAAAGTGCAAGGGTTTAGTAACCACTGCATAAACTATACAGAGCGTGTGCCTTCTGTGAGGCTGCTCATCACCGTGGATATTATAAATTAAAGGATTTAGTCATATGAGATAAGTTAATGGTTATGTGATAATCATCTGAAAAAGACTTAAGACTGGTTAGAGGTTTATTCTGACCCTTTGATGAATGAAATCTTACCACGGCCACAGACCAGGAGCCTGAAGGCTCTTAGGGGATTTTTTTATTATTTTTTCATCCTGTAGCAAGTACTGCCCGCGAGCTGAGAGCATGATTACGATCAGTCCTGCTAGATAGTTTTTATTTATTTACCTCTCATATCCAATGATCATCACCTCTATTACATAGGCAAATTAGCTGGACTTTTAGAAGTTCCATTATTCATCATCTCAAAATAATCATTATATTCTGTAATTGTCCTTATAGGAAAATAAGGCACAATACTTTATGCTTCTGCTTCAACTTTTGGAATTATTTTTTCTCCACATACGGAGGATAACAGCTTCATGTACACATAGGTTAACAAAAAATACATCCTCAAACCACCACTGAAATGATGCACAGCATAAAAAAACGGAGTTTTAAATATTTTCTAAACAGCTTGTATTTAATCTGAACAGTGAAGTCAATACATCATCTCATCAGAGCTGAAGCACAGACAGCCACTGCAGCCAAAATGCCATGTTTTGTCATTCACTGACATGCATACTTCCCCACTGGGTTATTTTACCTGCTTCCTGGTCCGTGTCTTCCCTGTTCTAAGTTTGATGTATCTGGCTATCAATTCATTCCTACCTGAAACAAAGAAAAAATCATCATAAGGGACAAGCAGCATCACATCCATAAACACCATCAAAATACCACATTTAAACATATGAGCTCCATGCGTATGAGGCTTATGTTTTCTTACACCTACTCCACTTTTCCTTTGCAAACTATTTATCAGTATTTCCCGTTGTTCATCGGTATTCTCTTCCCTCTCTTTAACAGACATCGTATGTGCCACACGAACTATGCAGAGGGCTACAGGTTCAGTGTTTTCCCACTGAAGTCCTGGAGCTGTTTGCAGGCAGAGAGGCACCTCCTTGGTCAGTGGCGGTGCCCAGGGTGATCTCTCCCTGGAGAACGCTGGCGGCTGACACAAGGTCTGGGCTCCTCCGGCTTTGCTTCTGACTGCGCCGGGTGGTGTTTGCCCCCCCTGCCCCCCCCGGACCCCCCCTGGGAGAAGCAGCTGCTCTTGAGAAGGTCGTGTGCCACCCGAGCCGAAGTGCCAGTGACCCAGATGTTATGGTTTCGCATCAGCTTTTCTCCAAGTTTTAACTCTACGAGGAGGACAGCAAAATCTATCCTTCCTGCCAGGAAGCACTCTGCCTCCTCCACTGATGGAAATCACTGTCTCAGTTCAGCAGGTTATCAATCATACCCCTAACTCTACGCACAAGAGTGGTCACCCTGCGCTGCCTAAGTTCCTGCTGCAGTGGGACCAATCAACACGGTGGTTTGTTATTCAGAGCTCTATTTCTCTTGGAAATGTATAGTATTTCCAAGTTTCTAAAGTGGCTATTTGACTCTTCTTCAGTCACACATTATGCTACCTAATACAAACTAACATTTTCTTTCCAAATAATTTCCTTCCTAAATATTGCTGACATGGAAGATAACACAGTTTTATGTGGTGCCCTGTTTATTTTCACTGCGTATTATGTTACTTCTCCATGAGTTGTAATAACTTAAATATACTCGTTCAACAAGTCCTAAGTTATGGAGTTATTTGCATTCAGCACAGGGGATAAGCAGCCTGTGTGTAGAAAATGAGAAAACTGATTTAGCATCAAGCTGAAAATGGGGAGGTTAAGAAAATAACTTGTCACCCACCAAGTTATTTTAAAGTGGATGAGCACATATCTGGGGAGTGCAGAAAGTTATCATATCAGCCAGGGACTCAAAGTCTTTCAGTTTGACGTTGTGGGGGAGAGATGGGGAAGTTTTGAAGTAGCCTGCCTATGTCTGAAGGGCATTTGTTGACTGGAAGATTGAACACAGTTAGTCAAACTAGACCTTCATTTTCCTTTTTTCTTCTGTCTCCCCCTCTGAGCCTTATTTTACACCCTTTGCATCAAATGTCTCATGGTTCCTGTCTCTTCCATGGATTGTTTGCTAAATGGGTGCTAGAATATGCAATACCAATGTACTTCAGAGTAGAGCTGTGTTTTCTCCGATTCCCTTTTTGTTTTGGTCTGGACTGTGTACCAGGTTTCCCGCAACGTGCCACTATAATGGCGACATGAGGTTTGTAACTCTTCAGCAGGTCTCTTCAGGACAAACTTTTCTGCAAATATTTCTGCACACAAATGAGGGATTTCCGTATGCAAACAGAGCAGCTAGTTACCTAATTTCATGCAAAGACCTTGTCTTTTGGCTGGACAGAAGTTCTGCAGCCTGTTGTGCCCACAAGGTACTTGCCATTTGCAGTGAACAAGAGCCTTTGTGTTCATGGGGTGAGCCAGGGAATGCTCAGACTTTGTATCTCTCTATTCTCATGTTCTTTCTCATAATCCAAACAGTTCACTTCAAATATGGAGAATTAGTTTTCATAGCGGTGGCTGTCCCCCTATGTCCTTATGCTGTAACAGCAGCTACCTCATAGTGATAGGACTGCAAATTCACTTGCAGGTGCTGGGCATGGACAGAAATGGAGCTGCACTGCTCTTCATTAATATTAGATGGAAAAGTTCTACAGTGGAAAAGTATCACACAGTTTGGGAAAAGGAACCGACAGAGAGGTTGAGAGCCTGAGGCCACGGCAATGAGAAGGGAGAGGAAAAGGTATACAACGATGGCACATCATACTAAATGTGCTTTGGACAAGAGTTGTCCAAAACCTTCTTGCTTGGTACTTTTCATGCCTCTGCAGTGTCCCTTTAATGAGTACTAGGCTAGCAGACAGTAGAGAGGTTCACAAAAATTAAAAGCAAAACAGGAAGATGCATTTCAGCACCTGCCACTGGGGAGCCCAAAGGGGTGGTGGCCTGCAAGAGCAGCCCTCTGCGATCCGGTGAGAATCAGAGATCACCATATTCCTGCAATCACTGGTATGATAGGTGGTATGAACATTTTCATATTTCTAAATGCACATTTTGATTTAATTGGGGAATGTCCCCCCTCCAGAAAGTACCTTCTTTGCATATCTTTAAGTATGTGCATACATTAAGCACCCAGAATAGTTTTTTGGTGCAAAAAGCATTGTCAGGTTGTCCTTAGCAGCAGCCGGTGAGTCTGCATGGTCAACGACTCTATAAGGTGATGTGAAGGATGCGTTGCCATCTCTTGTCCCTCTGTCTGTACTGAAGGTGTTTCCGATACACAGTCACAGGGCAAGCCACTCCAGCCATCCCTTGCCCATTAAGGCAGTCCTATGCAACCCTCTGCCGTAGCTGAGGAAGGAAGAGTTAAACCTTCTTACGGTTTCACAGTTTTCTTCCCAGTCAAGAGAGCTAAAAAACTATTTTTAAAGGAAAGCTCAGATTCTCAGGCAGCCACTTGACAGGAAAAGCAGCTTTATAAAAAACACCAAGCACTGAAAGTCTAGACTGTATTGTTCAAAATACCAGTCAAGTGCTGTCTCCAGTTGAGCCCCAGTCCACCCATGAAGTGCTTTAGCTTGAATCAAGGTGGGGTTTCTCTAGCTGCTATCTAGCCTGGCAGGGGTACGACTAACACGATTGTGGGTTTGCAAAGTGATTGCTTCCCCTTAAGGTGAAGTCTAGCTGGAGCCTAGCTTGAGAAGAGTCAACAGGGTGGAATAATTTGACTTAACTTACAGGGAGGAAGAACTCTACAAAGAACCATGCAAAGAGGCTGAGGCAACAGCCTTAGGTTTTCCTTAGGGCCACGTTTGCAACACAGCAAAGAAACGTGCATCGGGTTTAGCCAGAGCAGGAGATACTGTAGCCTCCTGAGGCTCACTAAATACCTTCTGCCCAGCCACAGTGATCTGAAAAGACATAAATTCTTTTCTTGGACTACCAAAAAGCCATAAACAGAAACATAAGCACTGCCTGACATATACAAGATAGACATCCCCTATTAAAAGTTTACAGCCTTTATGTTATCTACCAAACATTGGTGCTCTTCTTTACCAACTCTGACAGATACTACCAGAAAAGATCTTATCTCCCAATCAGCTAAGGCCCAGAGAGGATTTTAAAGAAAGGAAGTCTTAATAATCCTAAAAACACCTTTTCCCATTCTTGGGAATGGGAAGAGTCTGAAACAAAAGGAGGCTCAAGGAACTTCTTTAACTGGCCATTAGAAACCTTAGGGTGAGAAATGCTCATTAATAAATAGATCTGTTTTTTCTCTAAGAAGAGCTCAGCTGTGGAAATACTTTCCATACACGCCCTCCTTCTCTCTCCCTGTCATATATATCTGGGAAATTGCCTGGCAGAAGAGAAGAGGTCAGGTTTATGAACTGTAAATGTTCAGCTCCTTCGTCTTGTCATCTGCTATGACAGTCTCCTACTTCGAATATTTTGGTTCAGGTATCAAAGAGAGGCGTGGGGAGGTGCCCGGTCAGATAAAACATCTTCACAGCACAGGAATCTTTTCCAAGGATCTTGAAAATATCAGGAGAGGACCACAACAAATATTTTATATAGGCTTCTCTTGTGGTTTTTTTTCCCTTTTAAGTTCAGGCTTCATCTGTCATGCCCTTCTGTACTGTCAGTGCAATTGCAAACTATAAGTCTCCCTGGACTGATGCTGAGGAAGAGGCACTTTACACAACAGAACATCTTTTTTAATCGTGGCAGAAAGTAAAAAGGGGGTTCAGCTAGAAAACAGTGCAGGTGCTAGAAAACCTGTGAGGCTTCGTGGGGTGCCAAAACCTCACTGTGACCCCTCCGGGGCAACGGCCGGGCCCCCAGGGCAGCCCTGCTCCTGCCAGCCAGTGGGACACAGGGTCCCTCCACCTTCCCAAACTACTGCCCCATCCCTGAGGAGCACCAGCCTAAACAAAGGAGTGTGCGGTGATCCCGGACACCTCACAGCCAGCACGGACGACTGACGTTTCTGCTCTTCTTGTTCAAAATAAGTAGAAGCAGCTGCAAAGTGGGGAGGCTCCCACCCGCCTCTCCCCAGGGGAGGCAGTTGTTGCTCTAACAGAGGGCCCTTGTGCGGGGAAGCCTCCCCCACTAAAGTTATTTCCAAAACCAGCTTAAAGCGGCCGACCGTCAGCCCCCGCAAAGGTCTCCACAAGGCTCCCGGGTGCCACCCTTGGTGCTGAGGGTGGGTTTGGCCCCACTCGCCCAGCACAGGCACTCACCCGGAGGTGAAAGTCACCCCTTGGGTTAGGAGGCCATAACCGGCAACCCCTTCGTGGGCCAAAACCGGCACCGCCGCCTCTGCACAGGAGCCACCAGGCCTCCACAGGCAGCTCTACCGGGACCCACGTAGCTGTGGACAAGCCCCCAGCCATGACAGGTCCCTTTCCCCGGGTCCCAGCCACAGGCATCGCTGCTCAAACCCGGTCCCCGCCAGCAAAGGGGCAGCGAGCTGGTGCATCACGTCCCTGGTGAGCCGCTGCGTGGCGGGCGGGCGTCTTTATTTAGAACATTAATGACACAAATTAACCCTCCGCCCTCCAAGCTCCCAGTAATATGTGATAAAAATAGGCAAGTGTGGGAAATCAAGCTGGTTAACAATTTGAAAATGAACAGCTAATTTTAAAGTTTTCATACTCAGCAAAATAATTCAAGTAACGACCAAGCAGAAAAGCCTATTCTTTTCAGATAATG